CCCAGTCCTCGGTCGTGCGTGGTACCTACATACGGGTTCACCAAAGTTTTTCTCTGGTAAACTCATAACTTGTGAACCTGTAAAGCTAAAAGACTGTAATTTTAAGACGTTTCCCGTCCAAGTAAGTCTCAACGAGCTCAAACCCAGACATCGGTATGCGTCGTACTCGCGTGCGGGTCCGTGAAATTTTTTTCCAGTAAGCTGCTAACTCAGGAGCGAGGAAAACCAGAAAGCTGAAATTTTAAGGGGGTGTTTCCTACCGGTTCTGGCAACCAGTCTTAATTTGTTTGGCTTGAAACATTTGCCGAAAAAGCCGATGCCGGTAGTGACAAAAATTGCGGGGAACTCTGCAAAAAACGCATCTTGGCATAGGCAGCCCGTGCGTCGGTCAATTATTAGACTTTTCAGGCGAGGCTTTTTGGAGGCGTAGTATCTTGCTTCTTGTTTCTGCTAGTTTTTTTACGATCAATGGAAAAGATTATTTCCGTGTACGACCAGCTGAAAAAGTTGTACCCCAAATCGATCTCTTGATCTGAAAATGCTTTCAATCCAACATTCTGTTCTACAGAACTGCAGTTGCTAGGTGGCAAGTGTAAAGGAAATTTTGCCTTTTCTATGTTTCTGTACTCGATACGCTCCTGCTAAAATGTGATCGATCTTGATAATTTTCTCCCTTCCCAAACTTCGACGAGGGATTACTACGATTCTGATCCAAGCTATGCGTATTTGAATAACATCCGGCGTATTAGGCTGTGGCTGCAAGTGACTTTGTGATTTGCTTACTCTGTACTAGTTCTGGATTTCTCCTGTTTATCGGTCTTTCTTGATCTGCAATATCGAAGTTCTTTTGGAATCGTCGCTCTTCTGCTCAGTTCCCAATCATGGAAATTTTGGTTGGCGTTGATGTCTTTCTTGGGCTGATTGTATCGTATCTTTTAAAAATTATTTTTGGAGATCAAACCAGTAAGGAAAAGGAGGAGGAAGAAGAGAGTAAGGGGGAGGGGCCAAGCAGTGCAATTAATCAAAACAATAAAATATAAGTCGCAGTTAAAAGGCTTATCTGTTATCAGCAGAACCGTACAATAAAATCCTACACAGAAAGGGCTGTAATTAGAGCACACATGTATGCCTTAAAATATTTTCCCAAAAATTGACACCTGGTGCTAATTGCAAAGCATGCTTCTGATCGTTGGTCTGGAAATTGAAATGAGCTTTTCTAATGTGCAGAGGAGAAAAAGTTCTTTGCTA